GACGTGCCGTGGTTGGCGGATCTCGGGTGTCGCGGCGCCGCTCGAGGGCCTTCGGCGTCACGGCGCTGCAGCCTCCCGCCTTTCTTCTCCTCCTCGCTGGCGCCCCCCTCCTTGTTTTCCCCGCTCCCTTTCTGGCGCCTCCCTCTCGCCGTTTTTCGTTCCCCTCTTCTCCCCCGTCCTGCTGCTGGCGCTGCTGCTGCTGCTGCTGCTGCCCCGCACTTGTTCTCTTCCTTGTCTTCCTCGCGTTGCTCTCGCGCGCGTGCGTGTGGCCTCGGCTTCCGCCACGCGCTTTCTCAGCTGTTGATTTAGTCAAAGAAACTCCCAACAATATGAAAAATAGTCCCCAGACCATTTCCCAACCATCCTGTGGTGTTGGGTCCTCGTTTTGAAGAGACAGCGCCCCGCGTTCACTCCCCCTCCTCCCGCTGCCCCCCCTCCTCCTCCTCCTCCTCCTCCTCCTCCTCCTCCTCCTCCTCCTCTTATCATCATCATCATCATCATCATCATCATCATCATCATCATCATCATCATCATCATCATCATCACCATCACCATCACCATCACCATCACCATCACCATCACCATCACCACCGCCACCACCACCACCATCACCATCACCATCACCATCATCATCATCCTCGTCGTCGTCGTCATCATCATCATCACCACCACCACCACCATCATCATCATCATCATCATCATCATCATCATCATCATCATCATCATCATCATCATCATCATCATCGTCACCATCATCATCCTCATCATGATGATGATGATGATCATCATCATCATCATCATCATCATCATCATCATTATCATTATCATTATCATCATCATCATCATCATCATCATCATCATCATCATCATCATCATCATCATCGTCATCACTCCATCATCATCGTCATCATCATCGTCGTCATCGTCGTCGTCATCATCGCCGTCATCGTCATCATTACCATCATCGCCATCATCATCTCCTTGCCGCTGCCCTCCGCATGTCTCTGTTTCGACACACCCAGCACAGCATTTCGTAACCCCATAGGGAGCTCCACCGACGGCCCCAGTGGCAGGGTTCGCATGACGGCCTCGGGCCATTTGGGTACACCCCTCACAAGGATCGTGGCCCCATAGGAGCTCCACCGAAGGCGCCAGAGGCAGGGTTCTTCGCATGGCGGCCTCGGGCCATGTGGGCACACCCCTCACGAGGATCGTGGCCGCATAGGAGCTCCACCGAACGCGCCAGTTGCAGGGTTCGCATGGCGGCCTCGGGCCATTTGGGCACGCCCCTCACGAGGATCGTGGCCCCATAGGAGCTCCACCGAAGGCGCCAGTGGTAGGGTTCGCGTGGCGGCCTCGGGCCATTTGGGCACACCCCTCACGGGGATCGTGGCCCCATAGGGAGCTCCACCGAATGCCCCAGTGGCAGGGTTCGCATGGCGGCCCCGCCCCATTTCGGCGCACCCCTCACGAGGATCTTAGCCCCGTGGGGAGCTCCACCGAGGGTGCCAGTGGCAGTGTTCGCATGGCGGCCCCGCCCCATTTCGGCGCACCCCTCACGGGGATCGTGGCCCCATGGGGGACTCCACCGGGGGCGCCAGTCGTGGGTTTCGCATGGCGGCCCCGCTCCATTTCGGCACACCCCTCACACGGTTCGTGGCCTCATAGGGCGCTCCACCGAAGACGATATTCACAACTGCGATATTCACAACTGCATATGGTTGGGTCTTCAGCCAGGCCTAATTTGATTATTCCTCCTGTAGATGGACAGGCCCGGGTTAAGTTCAGTGCTGGCGTGGTGTGGTCCCCGCCCGAGCAGCGCTGCGCAGCGGTCTGGGAGGGTGCTCGCCGGTGCTGTGGTGTCCGCGGCCTGCCTCAGGACTCTGGGCCTTGGCCCCTGTCCCCCCCCGTGCTGCCACTGCGACCCTTGGCCCCGCGACCGCAGCGCAACCGCGCCGCGGCTCCGCGATGACCTCACGGGCCCCGCGTGGACCCAGCGTGCCAGGGCGCCCACATCGCAGAGCGGATTTCGGTCGGATAACCATGGGACGGGCCCCGATTATCCTTGAGAATGTCGTCCCGGATTTCGAGGTTAATTTCGCGCGGTTTTTGTTTGGCCAGGAATGAAGACAAAAAACATCCACGCGAAATTCACGTCGTTTTACATTGACAGAAATCCACGGCAAAAATCCGCCGCAGCACGTCTGCAAGGTCGGTGGAGTGAAACGTGCCAGTGCGGCCGCAATGTGACCCCAAGCGTGGCCCTGCGGGCCCAACATGAGTTCAACTTCGGAAGGACACCGCGACCCCAGTCAGGCACCCCGCGATTGGCCCGGCGTGCTTCCGTGACCCGCAAGCGGGTGCAATGCGCATTCGTGACCCGAAAATGGCGTCAGCGTGGCCCGAACCTCACTCCAGGATCCCGACCCGACTGGCCCGAATGCAACCCGAATGTGACACCAACATGACCCCGCGACCCCAATCTGATCCCATGCTGACCACAACATGAGTTCGCCGCCCCAACTGTAAACCCATGGGGGCATGCTTGTTTTGCGTCTTCCTCCATTGTCCGTGTTTCCCATTCTCTTTCTCCCACCCCCCTAGTCGCTTGCTCTCGCAATTTGTTGCCCCGTCGTTTCCTGTCCATCTCACCAGTGCCCGCCGTGTTTTCTCAGCGCGCTCCGTATTTTGCTCTCAGGGGAAGCCTTGCCGCTCAAACTGCACTGTGTTTCCCCGGACTACAGCAAGAGTGGCTCCCGCAGGACGCTCCTTGTCAATTCCTTCAGGCATCCTGCTCTCGTTCGAGACTTCCTGGACCACTACTTCAGAACTGTGCTCTCGCCCGATCTTTCCTCATACTTCTTGACGCCCCAGTCCATCCACCACCGATGCCCAAGGAATTGTATCTGGAGGACGGGGCGTACGTGAGCATATAGTCAGTGAAGCAGGGAGGCCAACTATGGCGAATTCAGATGTCGGGGAGCCTCTTGGAACCCTCTCGGGGGGATATTTGGAAACAGTTTGGCTCTCTTGGGGCCCTTTCGGGACCCCTTGGGGCTCTATTGGGGCCCTCTCGGGGGACTTGGGGGCCCTCTTGGGACCATCTTGGATGCCATCGATCAAAAAGGGGGGTTGTATATGGCAGTCTCCCCGTGGGGGCGCGAATCACATCCTTCAGGCGCTCTGAGGGCGCTCTTGGTGCTCTTGGGGCCGTTTTCTGCTCATATTGAGACACCATCTTGAGGTCTCAAGAGCCCATCGGGTGCAAAACGGCGAAATGACACAACACATGTGTGGATTTTCCCTAGACGTTGTACAGGTCTTGGCTTCTTCGGGGGGTCCTGCGGAGGCTCCCTGTCCACATGGAGCCATCCTGGGGGGGGGGCTTCGGGCTTCGTGGAGGCATGCTGAACGAGATCTTGAACCATCTTGGGCTTTATCGTGCAATCTTGGGGGTCCTCCTGGGCGATCTAGGCCCCTTTGGGGCCACCTTGGACCATCTTGGGCGCTCTAACGCCTCGCAGAACGCTACCTCCAGAGCCAGGCCCCGATGAGAAGGGCTATCGCCGAATCGCCCCCCCCCCTGGAAGGGAACCAGGAGGTTGGTTCTTCGTTAGACCACCTACGCCCAAAGGACTAGTGGGATCTTCTCAGGACTGGCGGCGTCGCCGCTCTGGAGTCGTGCTCTCGCCCATGGCTTCTTGAGACTGATTCGGAATCGCGCTCTCGCCTGAGACCTGGTCATGATATACGAAGGACTCGCGATTTGATCGCGCGCCCGACCCGCCCGTTGCGGCCAGCCCGCCCGAGCCGCCTATTGGGGTCCGTTGGGCCGATTGCCTGGAAATCTGCCCGCCCGCTTCACGTCCCGCCGCCCGACCCGCCTCCGAAAGCCCGCCCGCCAGACCCGGCCGACCCGCCCGCTAGGCTCCGCCGCGTGACCCGCCCACTGGGGTCCGCTTGGCCAGTTGCTTAAACGCCGTATGCCGCCCAATCGGATGTCCCACCCGCTTGTCTTACCCTGCAGGGGTTTACCCACGAGCCGCCTTGAAATCAGAAGCGGGGCGCGTCCAGAAGCGAAGAGGGCTGGAGTTGAGGGCTGGGGATACTATATATATATGTACATGACATGTCGTGCGTGCAATGAAGAGCGAACAGGCTAGGGGAAATTCTGGCGAGTCCAGGAACTCCAGGGACCTCGGGAGTCCGGGGAGCCTAGGGGCCGTCTGGAATCAATCGTTGTGTCTCTCTCTGTGTTTCCGTCTTCCATTTGGCTTTTCCCCGCAGGAGGAAAAGGAACCAGGAAGCATACATATATGCTAGATTTCTTTGCAATGTGGCGAGGAGTCCACGGGGATACAAGGGGCGGGAGAGGGAAGATAGAGAATGCGAAGGATCCACTCCAGGTTTCCGCTCTGTTTGTTCGTTTGTTATTTCCGCTTTTTGCTGATTTTCCACCTCGCAAGCAAGCAAGCAAGTCCGGCCGGGCGACTCAGAGAACCGCTCGTTCCATTAATGGGGACGGAAAGGAGGACATTGTGAAACAACATATGAATAACACCCCTCGCATCAGACATAATGTTCGGCACAGTGTGGTTTTCCACCTCGTCATCCTTCCAATTTTTCCGTCCCCCGTTCCTTCCTCTTCCCTCCTCTTTGTCATCTTGCGCCCTCACTCCTCGTTCTTCTCCCTCGCGACTTTTCACGCCTGACTCCCTCCCTCCTCCTCCGTCACCTTGTCCATCTCCTCGTCTCGCTCCTTCTGCTCCTTCACTTTCTTTTCTTCCTCTCCGTTTTTCCTCCTTCTCTCCCCTGTCGCCGCCACCTTCTCCTACGCCCCCTTATCCATCCTTCTTCCTGCCTCCTCTCTCCTGCCTTCCCCGTCCTCCGTCCTCCTTCCTCCTGTTTCCTCCTTCTCCTCTCCCCCTCCTCCCTCCTCCTCTCCTCTCTACTCCCCACTCCCTCCTTGTACTTCGATCGTAGGAGACCGTCGGTGGACA